GGCAACCGGGAGACCGGGCAACCGGGAAACCGGGAAACCGGGATACCGAGAACCCGGGAAACCGGGAGACCGGGCAACCGGGAAACCGGGCAACCGGGAAACCGGGAAACCAGGAAATCAGGAAACCGGGAAAGCCCACAGCAGGGAAGCCCGCAACCCCCACCCACCCGCAGCAACCCCCCTTCACCTGCAGCAACCCCACCCCAACTGCAGCAACCCCACCCCAGCTGCAGCAACCCCCCCACCCCAGCTGCAGCAACCCCCCCACCTGCAGCAACCCCACCCCACCTGCAGCAACCCCACCCCGCCTGCAGCAACCCCACCACACCTGCAGCAACCCCCCCCCACCTGCAGCAGCATCAGCACCTCACCTGCAGCAGCACTTGAATGAGCACCCATCGCAGGCCAGATGCCATGGCAGAGAGCATGACGAGTACGAATCCCCACAGGTGGAATGATGCCTCCCCCGCCACTGCCATAAGTGCACACGCACACCCCCACGGAGATGACCATCATAACGCGGATGAGGGAGGGGTGCAAGGCGCGGCAGGAGAGATGGGGAGGTGGATTCAGTAGGAGGTGCCTTGCAGGCAGGCAGGCTGACCTATGACGAGCACGCCCACTGAGATGACCATCATGACTCCGATGGGGGAGGGGTGCAAGGCCACGAGTGGTGCTTCAAGGAGGTGACTATGAGAGCGGCGAGTGACTGGCTGACCTGTGAAGAGCACGCTGACGGAGATGACCATCATAACGCCAATGAGACAGGGGTCTAAGTCTAAGGCGAGAAGGAAGGGGATTCAGAAGAAGATGTTTATGAGAGAAGCAGCTGACCTGTGAAGAGCACCCCCACGGAGATCACCATCATAACGCCGATGAGACGAAAGCTGATGGGCTCCAACCTGTCGCCCGTGGTGTGGGCGTGACATAGGGTGGCATGGGGGCATGGCATGGGCAGCGCAGCACGGCGACACGGGTAGGACATTGTGAGTGGAGTGGATCAGACGCAGAGGCAGAGCAGCAGGAACACACGGGCGCGGGCCGTGCAGTAGAGAGATGGCATTTGAAAGCAGCCCTGGATTTCCTTGAGTAAAACACATCGAAACGACTCCGAAGATAAGGCTACATGCAGTGCAGCAGGGAGGGACAAGCAGGCTCTGGAGCTCTCCCGTGCAGAGATGTGGGCGGGGGGAGACAGGGAAGACATTAGATAAAGAACATTTTCAGTGGGCTTGAATGAGATGAGATGAGATGAGAGCGCACCTGAAGATGAAGGCGAAGAGCAGCAGGAACATGGGCGCGCTGGACTTGCACTGCCATGTGGTGTGGTGGTGGCAAACAGAAGCGTGGGTAGGGGAATGGGGAGGGGAGTGAGTGTGAGCGGTGGAAGCAAGGAAGGCGAAGAGCAGCAGGAACATGGGCGCGCTGGACTTGCACTGCCGTGTGGTGTGGTGGGGGCAAACAGGAGCATGGGGACGGGAATGGGGAGGGGAGTGAGTGGGAAGGACAGAAGCAAGGAAGGGGATGGGAATGCAGACCGGGTGCGTGTGTCTGTGGCGGGCGGTGGGGTCAACAGGAAGAGTGGCGAGGGAGGATTTGGAAGGGAGGGAGTGGTAATGGAGGACTTGGAAGGGAGGGAGTGGTAAGGGCAGAAAGTGTGGTTCATGCATGAGTGATGATAAACGAAGAGAGATAGTGTGAGTAACAATGAGTGATAATGAGAACTGATGAGTAATGATGAGCGATGAAGAGTCATTCATACTGAACCATACCATGGTGTAGAAGGTGAGTGTGATATAAGCGAGGGACTGATTGGAGAGAGCGATGTCCACTGCTGTTGCCACTGCTGTGGGAATGACTGCTCGTTGCCACACCAGTACATGCCATGCCATGCCAACCCATGCCACGCCATTCCATGCCATTTCATGCCATGCCATTCCATGCCAGCACATGGCATCATCGGAGAGAAATGATCCGAGGCCATGCCATGTCATGCCATGCCAAACCATGGCAAATCCAGGGTGGCATGGCACAGCACACGTGCAGATGCCAGCAACCATGGCACGAATGGAGTGGATAGGACGAGGAGGTGAGACGCGAATGGGAGGAATCGGCATGAGGTGGATCGATTGCACAGGCGAGTTCAGAGACAAGCCGAGCACAGGGCAAAGAGGTGCATAGAGTGCACGGGGGCAGAGGGTGTGAGAGCAGAGGGGGGAGCATAGTAGGCGGAGGAAAGTGGCAAGTGGCACACAGCGACGCCAGTGCAGCGCACCTCTGAGGCAGTAGTCACGGGAAGAGAGGGGGAGCGGGGGCAGGGCGGAGGGGAAGGCGGAGTGCAGGAGCGCAGAGGCCATGAGCGCCTGCTGGGCGAAGTGGAACGCCGTGAGCAGCAGTGGCGCGGGGAAGCGGCCGTGCTGCTGGCCTATCAGCATCTTGTTGTACCTGATTGGGGTGGGCGGGTGGGAGAGAGTAGAAGGGGCGAGGTGATGTGAGAGCGGCCGTGGTGCTGCCCTATCAGCATCTCAATGCACCTGCATGCATCCGGGTGCTGGCGGGGCGGTGGCGCATGTGGGGTGAGAGGGGAGAGTGGGGGGCGTGGGGGAAGAGAGGAAAACAAGTGGAACGTGGTATGGCGAGGGGCTTACAGGCTGAGCGCGGTGCTTACAGGCTGAGCGCGGTGCTTACAGGCTGGGCGCGGTGCTGAAGGTGTACCAGAGCAGCAGCGCCGCCAATACGCGTGCCACGGGGTGACTATTGAGGTGACTCAGAGGAAGGGAAGAAGAATGGAATAAGAGGGGCTTACAGGCTGAGCGCGGTGCTGAAGGTATACCAGAGCAGCAGCAGTGCCAGCACACTTGCCACGGGGTTTTGAGGTGACTCAGAGGAGGGGAAGAAGAATGGAATAAGAGGGCCTTACAGGCTGAGCGCGGTGCTGAAGGTGTACCAGAGCAGCAGCAGCGCCAGCACGCGTGCCACGGGCCACAGGCTACGAGGATCGCACCACACGCGCACACGCACCCCTCCCCACCCCACGCTTGCCTTCACGCTGCCGCCACCCGCTCCAGTCATAGCCCCACCAGTGACGGAACCACCACTAGCAGCAGCACCAGCAGCACCAGCAGCGGCAGCCAGCCAATTCTGAGCCCCTATTCCGTCCCCCGACTTGCTCCGCTCCACGCGTCTCTCCCGCACCCTCCCTGCCCGCCGCTCCCCAGCCCTTCCCCTTCCCCCATCGCTCGCCTCGTCAATCTCGGAGTCCGTCTCTCTGGCGCTGCTGTACGCGCTACTGCCATGCCTCTCGCTCAATCCTACCGTGTGTCTCTCACCGAACCCTAATCCGTGTTTCTCCGGCAATTCGATCGCGGGCCGCACGTCCTCCTCTCCCCTCTCTCCCCCCTCCTCCCTTTCTCCCCTTTCTCGCTCTTTAAAGCGATCCTCGTCAGCACTGCGAGTGACGCCGTCAATTCCAGGTCTGATGTCATCTCCTCCTTCCCGAACCTGCAGCTCTACCGATGCCTCACTGGCATGAGGTGTCACGCCGGCTAAACCTGCTGACGGCCTGACGCTGACGCTAAGGGAGCTGTCGCCGCTGTCTCCGATGGTAATTAAGCTGCTGTTACTCGAGCCGCCTCTGTCATCGATAACGACTGCGCTGCTGCTAGTGGAAGACCTGCTGCTGACGTCAGTGGTAAGGATCGCCGCATCTCGCGGTCGCGACGAGCCGCGAGGAGACGACTTCAATCGCGGAGTTAAAACCCCGTCATGAGGCCCGTTAGACCTCATTGCTTCTGCTAAGGGAATTGAGGCTGCATGGAATAAGCCGAAGGCGCTTCAGCATGTCGAAGACACCATGGTAGTTGGAAAATTGCTCAAGTGATAAATGTGCCTGAGCTGAGCGCCCGAGCAGAGCAGTGATAACGATTATGACTGCCACATGAACAAGGTTCAGGTTCAGCTTTACTGCTTCAGTTCAGTGGAGTGCCCTTTCGGTTTGTGGGGTGCAGCAGGATATTGACGTGCTACTATACAGCGTATTAGTGCATTTTTCTTTATCTTAGCCCTACACAACAAGTTGTATCCCATCACTAGTTATTCTTATATAATATAAAAACGTAAATAAAAACGAGGATAATCTCTAGAAACTTGAAAATTGGAAATAATGTGACACATCCACCACTGATTATAAATCTTTTACAGTTGCACTATACTTAAATTCATCTTGAATAATGATACTCGTAACCGTACAAAAAGCTTACAACGAGTTCCACTGAAATCTCTTCCCACGCCCCTGACATTCTTCGAAGGGATTGGGCCTGTCCAATCGCATGCGACAGCGCTCAGCAGCCCGCTGTGAAAGTGGCGAAAAAAAAAAAAAAAAAAAAAAAAAAAAAAAAACGTAAAAACAAACTAAAACAATGTCAAGGCAGCCATGGCCATGGCGGAGGGCTTTAACTCAGTCAGTGTGCATCAATTTCCAGCCTGATCTTGACATTGAGACACTCGTACGACGCGCGGCTTTAAGCTCTACACAATGGTGTCTTTTTAGTGTTCATTACGGGAACCTAAACACCACTTATGCAAGTTCCAGGCTGTCGTCAGCGTTCCATGCAACTTCAAGGCTTCCTATTGCACATGGCTATTATCAAGATCTCAAGCTTCCCAGAGTTTATCATCGAGCTTGGCGCTCGGCAATGTCAACATCTCGCGCTTTTTTCAAGGATGACATTTCCTATGTTTCAGCACAACTCGAGGCTCTTAACCAACTTGGCCGTTTGGCGTTCCCTAAGGTTATGGCTCCCATCCCTGGCCTGGACCTGCAGCGTTTCAGTTTCAAACATAAAAAGTATAAACAAACGGACTCATCGTCAGTTGTGCTCAGTCCGGCTTGTCTCTCAGCCTTCAACGGGCTGTCAAGCTTTTCTCATCCTCGCACCATGGGGAGAGCTCGCAGCAACAAGACTAGCAAGAAGACAACAGTCACTGACAAAGTAGCCGATATGTCACCCACCCCTACGGTACCTGAGAAGGATGCTGCTGACAAAGGGCGTGCGCCTTCCACCTCCTCGTCGCCAGTGGTGCTTGGCCCTTTCGAGGACTTATTGGACCTACAGAACAAGACTGACCTCAATGGCGAACAAGCTGCTGATGGTGTCGCTGATCCTGCTGACAAGGAAGGTGAAGAAGAGGCCGCTGAAGGAGAGGCTGATGCTGATGCGGACGCGCAGGAGGACGATGGTGCCTCGTCAGATCAGGCTCCAGACGATGACGAGGATGGTTACCTGAGTGACGACTCCGACGAGCACCTGGAACCAGCTTCGCTCGGCAGCATTATCGCTTTGAAAAGATTCTCACTGACCTTGCTGGTGCCGTTTAACAGGAAGCCTGAAGTCAAGCGGACTGCTGTAACTGTGGCTGCCTTGCTGGAAGAATGGAAGGATCAGCTGTCGCCAGATGCGTTGCAGACAACAACTTACCAGGAACTTACAGCGACCTATTTCTCTGGCACACGCTATGGTCGTCTTCAAGTTACCTTCAACCGCGTCCGCGATGCAAATTTCGTTTGGAGTCAAGTCATCAGACACGAGTGCGTGAATGGCGACATTGTCGACTTTACCTGGCAGCACCCTGAAGATGCGCGTTTCCTTCGTGAGCGCCTGCTGAACCCGACGGCGAAGGAGGTTGTTGTCAAAGGAGTTCCTGCGGACATTACTGCTGAGCTGATTCGTCACCTGCTGGTGGTGTCGAAGCTGGTTAAGCGCGGTCGGAGTGCTTTCGCCAGCGGTTTCGGCTTTCATCGTACCGTCGATCCGGTGACTGGGCTGGACACCGACCGTATCCGCGGTCTGTTTGTCCCCCACGCTGACGATGTGTACCGCTGGAGGTACTTTGTGGAGGACCCGTCGACTGGCAGGCGCTACATGCTGCACTACCCATCGCTTACCTGCGAGCTCTGCAGCGGCCAGCACCTGTCCCGCTACCACGATCATTATGTTACCTCGAGGCAGGAGAACTTCACCAACTGGAACCTGTCGGTCAAAAAGGTTCATGACATGAACGGTATAAGCAGAAAGATCCCCCACCCTCAGCTGTCTAATTCGTTACCTTCGTTGTCCACCCCGCTCCTATCATGCCTCTCGAATCGTACTGACGACTGTCTCTTCACCTCCTCCCGCAGCGGCTTCCCTGAAAGCCACAGCGTCTCTGACGCGCATCTTGAAAGACCCCGCAGTCATACTCACCTCTACAGGAGGTGTGCGGGAGGAGTGGGTATGCGTACAGACTGTATGCGAGAAGGCTCAAGGGAACCGGTTCGAGCAGGCGGCGGCTCATGTCGCTTCTGCCAGGCACAAGGGAGGGCTGAAAAAGGAAGGTGCTGCAACGCGTGTCAGCAAACATTCTCAGAAGATGGCTGCTTTCAAAAAGGAGTTCATGGCCACACCGGCAAAGAAGTGATCAGCGGCTTAGCGGATGAGACGACACTGTGGATTTTTGGTGCAAGCTGTGTAGTAGGTGCCATGTTTGCCTTCGCTGTAGCTGGTTGCATCGTCGCAATAAAGACCAATCGCCCGTGGATGCTGTGGGGCTCAAGGAAAGTGGTTAATGGATAAACGCAACAGCTTAACTTTTCTCGAGCTCAACATCAACGGGCTCGGTAGTAGTGGGAAACAGGAGAGATGCGGAAAATGGATCAGGAAGGCAGCACATATTGTTGTACTCACTGACACACGAGTCTCACAGGATCATAACTTCTGGACACAAGTCAGGTCGGAAGCTCAAGCGGTGGTTGGCCCGTCACAGAGAGCTGGGGGGGTGGCGGTCTTGGGCTTCCTGCCAGGCATGCGGTTCACAGACGTGGTTAGGCACGAATCCGGCCGTCTCATAAGCTTGATGATTGCATGGAGAGATCTGACCTGCAGAGTGGTGGCTGTATACCTACCTGCGCAAGCACCTGCCAGGGGGGTCTTCTTTCGTGATGTACTAACACCCTTCGTGCAGAGCCTAGGTGCCTCTCCATATACCATACTTCTTGGTGATCTGAACATCGTTGCGGACCCGGAGCTGGACAAGTCCTCAAAACTGGGAACGCCGGCGGAGAACCAAAGACTCCTGCAGATTTGCTCAAGGTGGGATCTGCAAGACGCTTTTCGGAGCCTCCACCCGACCAGGAAAGAGTTCACGTTCTTCTCGAGATCTGCAAAAACGAGTACACGGATAGACAGGGCTTTAGTTTCACACTCTCTTCTCAACTGCGTAACGGAGGCGAAGCATAAAATGGTTCCATACGGTTTAACAGATCACTGGTTCGCGGTGTCAGTGTCGCTCAAGGCTGCATCGGCGGACGACCATGGCCCAGGGTTGTGGAGGCTTCAGGCACCTCAGGCTGGGGGTGAAGGAGTCAGGAACATTATATCGGCGGTACTGGACTCACAGGCGAAGTGTCCGGACAACGGCCTGGAGAGACTGGTGACGAATCTGCGTGCAAGCATGAGAGCTCATGTAGCAGAGGAGAGAAAGAGAGTTAAGGCGACCATGGTGCACTTGGAGCTGAAGGTGGAAGAGCTTCGATGGAAGGTGATGTCGGACCCTTCGTCGCAGGCTTTGTACGAGGAGCTGATAAAGAATGAAACGGCTCTCAAGCTTTACCAGGACAGCAACAAGGAGAGGCTGCAAGTTCTGACGGGGATGCTGCAGGAGCTGGCGGGGGAGACTCCGTCAGGGTTTCTGTCAGGCTTGGTCAAGTCCAGAAAGGCGAAAACTGAAATAGCGGAACTTACCTTCAAAGGGCTGTTGAGAAAAGGAGCAAGCGAGGTGCTGCAAGCTGCCTCGGAGCATTTCCGAGAAGCCTACGCGCTGTCGCCGGCGCCCTCCCCTGCGGAGCCATGGCCGATCGAGGAGGGAAAGACGCTGCATGAGAGCGATCGCATGCAGCTGGACAGCGAATGGTCAGAGCAGGAAGTAAAAGCGGCGCTAAAAGGCTTACCGGCGGGGAAGGCCCCGGGGCAGGACGGCCTGCCAAAAGAACTCTTCGAAAGAAACTGGGAGCTGCTGGGCCCGGTAGTGATGAGAGAGGTCAAGAGCTTCGAGTCAGCAGGGGTGCTTTCGGAGTCTTTCACAACGGTGGTCACGATCCTCCTGCACAAAAAAGGAGACAGGGACGACTTGGGAAATTACCGACCGATCACTCTACTGAGCTTCTTCTACAAATTGCTGGCGAATGTGTTGGCGAACAGAATCAAGGTGGTCTTACCGCGTGTGATCTCAGCCAACCAGTTCGGCTTTCTTCCGGGGAGGAGTCTCGCTGACGCTGTCTCTCTGGTAGCAGATGCGATTGATGCTGCGGAGCAGGAGGATGAGGATTGGCTGCTGCTGCTGGTTGATTTTCAGAAAGCTTACGATTCGGTATCACGTGAATACCTCTTCGCGACATTGGGCAACATGGGTTTCCCGGAGAAGTTCACGAGATAGGTAAAGGGTCTCCACGATGGAGCGGCAACCAGGGTACTGTTGAACAGTTGGATTGGGGAGCGAGTAGAGATGGCCAAAGGGGTGCGCCAGGGCTGCCCGCTCGCCCCGTATCTCTTCCTCTGCGCGGTTGAGCCTCTCTGCCAAGAAATTCAACGGAGGAAACTGGGGGTCAGGAAGAGAGGGCTGAAAGGGAGCTTAGACTACATTGGATATGCAGACGACACGACGCTGGTCTTGAAGGGCAAAGAGCAGGTGGCGGTTGCTGAGAAACTGCTGGGGGAGTTCGCGGCAATCTCAGGACTGAAGGTGAACCGGGATAAGACAACATTGATGCCGCTCGGGAAAAATCGAAGGAGGCTGCAGCCGATAGCGTCGTCTTTCAAGTGGGCGGCGAAGAACACATCTGAAAGGCTGCTCGGAATCTGGATCACCTCTGGAGGCTCGCCGGGACCTGCATGGGACAAGGCTTTCGAGAAGGTTAGCGCGGTGCTGAGTTGCTGGGAGACTAAGCATCTCAAAACCTCGGCACGGGTGACCATCATAAACAGCTACGCGATGCCGATTTTGCTCTTCCAGGCGTTGATCTACGCCCCACCGTACGAGGTCTGGACCAAAGTGAAGAGGCTCTGTCATAATTTCATCTCCGGTGGGAAAGCGCTCCTTGATCGACACTTCACGCTATGGAGCTATGAACTGTCGTGCAGAGGACGGAAGGAGGGGGGCTTGGGGGTGATTGATCTGAAACACCGGATTGACAGCATGGTGATCCAAGGACTGGGAAAGGCCCTGGTGGAACAGGAGCCACTTCGAAACTGGTTATGGGAGAGGGCGGCGGCTTTCCCCCTTGGCCTGGCCACGGTTTACGCGCACCCTTCGGTCCTGAAGTCCTGGCTGGGAGGGGGCACGAGATGGAAGGCCACTATTAAGGCACTGTGGGACTCAAAACTTGTGGACATAGGCGATCCGGCTCACAGATGGGACGCAGAGGAGGAGCAGTTACTTTTCAACCGCAGTATTTTCTTCAGAGGCAGATCACCCTTCGGCAACCAGGCGGGCTCGCTCTGTCTGAAGGGCATCCGACTGGGGGATTTGGTGGTGAAAGGAGGAGACGGCAGCAGAGCTCGTAAGAGCGATGAGGTTCTGGAGAGGGAACTGGGAGGCGTGGAGCAGAGGAAATGGGCCCTGAAGGCGTGGGAGGCGACACCGCAGAGATGGAAGGATATGGTGCTCAACCAGCTGTCGGCGGATGAACTCTTCAGGGAAACGAGTTTGGTCCGCTCTGCGTCTTACCGCCCGGGGGAGTTCTTTTATTATCAGCTGCAATATGTGTGCAACGGCGAACTTTACGGTCGAAGAGTGACGGTGGACAAGAAAGGGAACATAGGCGAAGTGGAATATGCTAGCGTGATATCGGTGGAATTTCGGCGCGCTTCACCCATGGCAGTCATAGATGGAAGGGCCCGCGGTTTACTCGGCGCTCCAAGAACGCGACTGCTCTATTCTGCAATCTGTGAGAAAGGCGAGCGGGCGGATCTAAAGAAGTTGAGGAAGGCGATGAAACCCTCGCTGGCGCAACCGAAACAGCAGCTGAAGTGGGAGGAGGAATTGGGGAGGAAGATCGGCTGGGGGAAGGCTATCACGGTCCGTGACTCACTGGCAACCCCATGCAAGGCGCGAGAGGTGATACTGAGGGTGCACAGTAACAACCTCCAAGTAGGGGAGCGGCTCCCCTTCTTGGGTGCGAGGGCGAACGCACTGTGGCGGAGTTGAGTCGCAAGATCACTGCCTTTTCAGCTGCCCGGTGATCCAACCTGTGGTGGAGGTGATGAGGAAAGCGGTTCAGTGTATGAACCCGGGCAGGGACATGCGATCTCTCGGGGACATGCTCTTCCAAAGGAGTGGCACGTCGACTGGCTTCCCAGAGGCTGCAATCATATCCATAACAGCGCATCAAGTCTGGCTGGAGAGGTGCAATGCGGTTTTCCGTGGTAGCCGGTTCCAACCAAAGAGAGCATTGAGACGCATGGCAGTTGGTTTCACGAGGCACGTGAAGATCTACAGCAGAGCGCGGAAGAAAATGGCTGGCAGGAGTGTTTCGAAAAGGACGGGTGACTGGAGCCACTTGAATGCTGACGAAGCAGGAGCTATGCGCAGGCTCTATGAGACAGAGGCCTCGATGACGTGGAGAGCGGGTTTTAAGGCGATCTGGGAAGACGGCGGTGTTGCTTTCCAACCTCCATAAAAGGATAAGGGGGGCTCTGGTTGCTTGGATACTTGTAACCTCCTCATGCCCTCCTAGCATCAGTTACGACTGCGGATGTATGTATGCTGGTAGTGTACTTATATCCACCAAAAAAAAAAAAAAAAAAAAAAAAAAACTGTGAAAGTGGCGGGACATTTGAATTTGAGTTTCAGCGCCTCGGCAGGTCGTCCTCTGTGCACCCCTTCACGTTGCAGGTGCGCCCAGTCAACGGGTTGGTCTGTCCGCCATGGCGACGGGACAGTGGCGGGCAAATAGACCAGGTGGCGAGTCAGGCGGGCGTAACTCGCTCCGCACAAACGCGTTCGTTCTGCGAATTCATTCAATTCATGCGCGTCGACCAGCATTCTGTCCTTGAAGCTCCTACTGCGTCCTCTTCTTCACCCTACACACATCTCTCCTCTCCTCCCCACTCTCACCCCAGATCCTAAGCCCTCCCGCATGCTCTCCTAATATCAATTTCTCTGCGAGGCTAGTTTATCAGAGGTAGGATCACTCCTTAGAGACGGGACGACCACGTCCTTACTCCGCAAGCACTGAGAGCTACGCGTGCTTCAGATACCCATCCATACCGACTGATACCTCGTAGCGCCGAGCAGGTAGGCGCCATGGGGCGAACGTATTATCAGGTCGTCGCGGCCTGCGCGTGTCTACTGCTGCTCCTATCCCACGCGTCCGCTGAGGCTCCCTCGTCCGAGCCGCCTTCCACCCACGAATCGGCTTCTTCTTCCAGACCGGCCCCTTCTCCAAAACCGGCTGATGCTCCCAAACCTGCTCTCGCTCCCAAGTCTGCTCTCGCTCCCAAACCTGCTCTCGCTCCCAAGCCTGCTCTCGCTCCCAAGCCTGCTCTCGCTCCCAAGCCTGCTCTCGCTCCCAAGCCTGCTCTCGCTCCCAAGCCTGCTCTCGCTCCCAAGCCTGCTCTCGCTCCCAAGCCTGCTCTCGCTCCTAAGCCTGCTCTCGCTCCCAAGCCTGATCTCGCTCCCAAACCTGCTCTCGCTCCCAAGCCTGCTCTCGCTCCCAAACCTGCTCTCGCTCCCAAACCTGCTCTCGCTCCCAAACCTGCTCTCGCTCCCAAACCTGCTCTCGCTCCCAAGCCTGCTCTCGCTCCCAAGCCTGCTCTCGCTCCCAAGCCTGCTCTCGCTCCCAAGCCTGCTCTCGCTCCCAAGCCTGCTCTCGCTCCCAAGCCTGCTCTCGCTCCCAAGCCTGCTCTCGCTCCCAAGCCTGCTCTCGCTCCCAAGCCTGCTCTCGCTCCCAAGCCTGCTCTCGCTCCCAAGCCTGCTCTCGCTCCCAAGCCCTCTGCCTCCGTCAAAGCAGCCGGTTCACCCGAGCCTGCTCTTCCCCCGAAGCCGTCTCTCTCTCCAAAGCACGCGCCCTCCCCCAAGACCGCCCCCGCGGCCGCGCCTTCCTCCAAGTCCGCCCCCGCGCCCGCGGAGCCAAAGACCGCGCGGATGAGCGCGGCGGAGGAGGCGAAGCTGGAGGCGGAGCTGACGCCGGAGAACTTGAAGAAGCTGCGCGAGGAAGGCGCGAAGGTGTTGACGGAGGCGAACGTTCAGATGCTGATGGAGACGGATCCGTCAAGTCTGACGGAGGAGGACGGAGACGAGTATTTCCACTTCCACCACGTGGCGCACATGGCGCATCTGGCGCACATGGCGCACCTCGCGCAGCTTCAGAGCATGGAGGCGCACAACCAAGCGCAAGCCCCGGCGCAACCAGTTCCGCCGGTCGCAAAGACTTCGGAGAAGAAGGCTGACGGCGCCGCGGAAACTGCGGGCGAGAAGAATGCCGGCGCGCGGAGCGTGGAGACCCCCAACACAGTGATTAAAGCGGGGGCGGTTAAGGGCCAGGACGTCCGCGATATTGAGAATGACATCCTCGTTACTGACGATGTGAGAGTCACCGGCAAGGAGATTGGTGTACCCGCTATAGCGACATCCGTCAAAATTCCAAGCTCCGAAGCGGATCTCAGTCCCAAGGGCGTCGTGGCCGCTGCGGATGAAGCGGGCGACATCGAGGCGACCGATGCGAAGGAGACCGATGCGAAGGCGACAGTCGCGAAGGGCGACGCGAAGGCTACCGAAGTGAAGGGCGACGCGAAGGCGACAGATGCGAAGGGCGACGCGAAGGCGGCAGATGCGAAGGGCGACGCGAAGGCGGCAGATGCGAAGGGCGACGCGAAGGCGGCAGATGTGAAGGGCGAGACCAAGGCTAAGGCCGACGAGAAGGCTACCGATGCGAAGGGCGAGTCGAAGGGCGAGACGAAGGGCGAGGCCAAGGCTACAGCTGCGGACGATGGCATCAAGGCTACAGATGCGAAGGCCGCGATCGGCGCCGATGAGAACGGGCCGTCGAAACTGGCGGGCGTGAAATCGATGACCACCGGCGATGCCGACGCTGTTGCCGATGCTGATACCGATGCTGATATCGATGCTGATGCCGATGCTGCCGATGCTGATGCCGATGCTGCCGATGCTGATACCAATGCTGATGCCGACGCTGATGCCGATGCTGATGCCAATGCTGCCGATGCTGCCGACACTGATCCTGATGCTGATGCCGGCGCAGCTGACGCGGATTACCCTGACGCCGCTGGCAGTGGCGGCGCCTCATCGGGCAGTAAGTACGTCAAGACTGTAACGGGTGGCGCCAAAAAAGAGGCCGTCAGTAGCGCGTACGAGGAGGAGAGCTGCCCGGCGGCGCCGCTGGATCAATGCGATTTCTACTTCGAGGGGCACCCGGAGGACGTCCCCGTCTTCCGCCTCGATAATGTCACACCCGACACCGCTATAAGCCCGCCGCTGGTGTCGAGCCGCATTCAGCAGATCATCGAGGTGGATCGCAGCGGCGCGGCGCAGTTCCTGTGCGGCATGGACGGCGTGCGCGGCGACGACAACCAGTTCTATCTGACCAAGCAGCAATCCGCGCTGCATGTCCGCACCTTCCAAACGGTAAGCCGTCGCCATCCGTTAGCCACCTGGTTATAGGCAATTTCCAGGAGTACTTAATATCATTCTTACTATTGTAGGTTCGTTTAGGAGCGGTGAGTCGCTTGCTCGCTCTCAGCGAGAAGGCGAAAGCGAGAAAAGGCAAGAGTGGCACGTGATCTCAGTGTTGCTAGAATTGCTCACCCCTCGTCGTCCCCTCCTCCCCTCTCCCCCCGCCCGCAGGTGTCCTCGCCGCGCGAAAAGTTCGAGTCGCGGTGCGTGAAGCTGTGGATCGTGAACGCGCAGATCCCGGCGCCCAACGGCTCCGTCGTCAACACGGCGCCGGGCGACGACCTTCAGCACGACTACCCCGACGCGCGCCGCTGCGTCGTCTTCAAAACCGGCCCCGTCGCGCCGCAGTCCGTGTCGTGCGGCCGCCAGCCCGTCTTCGCGCAAGCCGTCGGCTCCCCGCCCGGGGACCTCGTTGTGCGCCCGTCCGCGCCTTCCTCGCCTTCCGCGCCGGGTGCGCCGGGTTCTCCGCCGACTTCCCCCGACAGCCCGCCAGGGGAAGACTCTCCGCCCTCCTCCCCGCCCTCTACCAAGACGAGTACCGACAGCCCCCCTTCCCACTCCCCCTCCTCCCCCCCTTCCCCCGACTCCCCCTCCTCCCCCGGGACCCCCGACCGTCCCCCCTTGGCGGGGATTCAGACCTTGCAGCCGCCTTCCCCGCCCAAGCCCTCCCCTTCCCCGCGTGCTCCCGGGTCCCCCCCAGCGCCAGAAGGGGATTCCCCTTCCCCTTCCCCCCCTGGCGTGCCTTCCACCGACCTCCCGCCCACGCCCCCGCACGCGCAGATACTCATTCCCCCCTTGGCTACCACCAAGACCCAGTCTCCCCCGCCCCGCACGTCCTCCCCGCCCCCGCCCACACCTTCCCCCGACTCCCCCTCCGGGCCAGTCACCCCCCAGTCCACCCCAAACACCCCCGACGACACTCCCCCCGAATCTCCCCCCGAGTCTTCCCCCGAGGGTTCCCCCGAGGCTCCCCCCGCGCCCATTCCCCCTGCTGAGTTCCCCAAGCCTACGGGGCCGTGCAAGGTGATGTGTCCGGCCAACCCCCTGTCTCTCTGCGACTTTTACTTTGAGCAGCATCAGACCGCTGTTCCACTCTTTCACCTCAACGGCACTGTTCCCGACTCGGCTATCAGCCCTGCGCTAAAGACAAACAAGCTGCCGCCCGGGAAGTTTGTCGAGGTGGACTCGGTGGATCACAACCGGCTGCAGATTTTGTCCTGTGTGGACTACACGTCAGCGCCGGCGAGCTACAGGGAGATGTTTTACGTGACGGGGCAGATCGGGCGGCTGCACCGGCGGGCTACGGACGGGGAGAGCATGTTGGGGTTCTATGATGGGGCGTGTGTGCGCGTGAAGCTCCAGTCGCTGCAGCTGGCTTATAACGAGACGAATGTGATTAATCTGAATCCTGGGGATGGGAACAAGGAGTTCCCGGAGTCGAGGCGATGCATCGTCTTCAAAACGGCCGTGTGAGGGAGGGGGGGGGAGGGGGGATTGGACTTCGAAGGAGAGGAGAGACTCTCTCTCCCCCTAGGTCTCCAGCGGATGATGGTCCGTGCTAACCAGAAGGCAAGCGCAGCGCTTGCTCTGATCTTAGGCTTGTTTTATTCTTAGGATGGGTCTGGACTCAGATGGTGTTAGGTGCAGAGGATGTAGAGCAAACCAGGCACAACATGGATGCATGCGTGCAAACTGACTCTTGTAATGGTACCACTGTTCTTGCTTGATACCTACAAACAACCAGCCAAACAAACAAAGTGCAGGTCTTCAAGCCAGGGGCAAAATGCAATTCCCTTTGTTTCCTAGTATACCATATGTAAGTATTGCACAGAATGTTGCTGGACAATTCAAGTTAGCTAAAGCAGCGTTCTCATGAAAGTGCCTGTTACAGCCTACATGTCTGCCATGTAGGCATGTCATGGCATGTATGGTACTGCCATGAAAGTGCCATACCGTCCCACTTGGCATGTCATGGGACTGCCTGCCCTGCACCCGTCGTGGACATTAGCTAATTAGCAAGGCGCATCATGGAAAAGAATGTTGTTACCGTAACTGGACAACTCAAGTTAGAAACCAGCACCTCGCCACCTTTTCAATCGCCACCTCCCAGCTGGGCCTTCACTGCCGTGTGCCGCTGCCAGTGGTGCCAGGAGCAGCCGGGGCAGGCATCATTCTCCCACTGGGAGGGCGTGTTAGCCAGTCTACCGCAGGCGAGTGCAGCAGTGCAGCAGTGCAGCAGTGCGGGCACAGCACACACGGCATTCACCAGCGCCTTGCTGTGGCCACTCAATAATAGATGGCGCCTTGTCCTATGCTGTGCCTTCACCTGCTCTTGCCAGTGTCGCTGGGAGCAGCGGGGTTGGGCACAAGGCGGCCACTTGGGGTGTGCAGCATCCGGCCACTGGGGGAAGGCAGCAGTCTTCCACTGGGCGTGTGCAGCAGAGCAGGGGTAGCAGCAGCGGCAGCCAGGGCAGTCACCAGCGCCTTGCTGTGGCAAGCACCCCCTCCCACACGCCCCCCACCGCTCACCACCGGCATGAACTCCTCTAGAATCGTTCCAAACTCCTCATCCACGAATGAATTTTTGCGCCGCCGCGGCGCCCCCTTGCTCTTCTCCCCAATCCCTCCTGAACCTCCTCCCCCTGCCCCCCCTGCTGCTGCTCCCCCTGTTGCGCCTCCTGCCCTTTTTCCTGCTGTTCCCGGCGGCCCTCCTGCCACTGCTGTGCGCCCCTGCCGCCTGTTTTCCCGCAGCTGGGGCATGTCTGCCAGCATGTCGGGTGACCGCAGCAGCACCTCCGACCGCATCGACGCTGATCGCACAAACTCGCCCACACTCTCTCCTGCCCCGCTCTCTCCTGCCCCGCTCTCTCCTGCTGCACCGCTGCTGCCGCTGCTGCTGCCCCTGTGCTTCCGGCATTGCGCTGCCCCGCCCGCCACTTGCCCCCTGCTCCCTACTGCTGTCTCCTCCTCTCCACCTGCTTCCCCCCTCCTCTCTCTTCCCCCACTGGCCCCCTTGCCTCCGCCTGCCATGCTGCTGCGCTGCATGCCAACAGCAGCCACGCTTGTGTTCCCATCTCCCTCCCCTCCCGCCGCTCCTCCCGCCTGCTTCTCTGCTTTCCCCCGCCTGTCCTTGCGCCTGCCTCTGGTCCGCCCATCCCCTTCCACCTCTGGTTGCTCCTCCCCCTTCCCTCCCTTCATCCCTCCCTCCTCTCTCTCCTCCTCCTCTTCTTCCCCCCCCATCCTCCTCCCCTCCTCCTCCTCCTCCTCCTCCTCCTCCTCCTCCTCCTCCTCCTCCTCCTCCTCCTCCTCCTCCTCCTGCTCCTCCTCCTCCTCCCTTCTCTCTTCCCACACCTCTCCCACACTCCAACCCTCCCTCCTGGCTCTCACGATCGGTCCCCCCTCCTCCTCCGCGGATACACTGCGCCCCACTGGCCTCCCTCCCCTCACCGCTCTCCTCCCCCCACTCTCTGCCACGTTCTCCCAGTGAAGATGCGCCAGCAGCGCAGCTGAAACCTCCCCCCGCCCCCTCACCTGCCCCGCCACCCCCCTCTCTCCTGCCCGCGCCCGCCCTCGTTGCCCCGCCTCTCTCCCCGTGCCACCCGAGCCAGTGCCGCCCGTTAGGAGGGGAGCGGAGTGAGGGAGTTCCCCATCCGCGCTGCACCCGCCGCTGCTGCAGGCGGCACCAGCAGTCTCGCGGGAGTCGCGCGCATGTGCTTGCGCCTGGGCGCGCCCACGCGTCTGCTCTCTTCTCCCGTTCCCCCCCCGCCCGTGCTTTCCACGCCCACGCTCCCCTTCCGCGTTCCACGCTTGGCTGCCGTCCTTGCCTTCCCCTTCGCCCTCAGGTGACGACACAGGGAACACGTCGTAGCCAATCACATCCGAGATGTCAATCTTTGGTGACGTCACCACCATTGACCCGTCGCTGCTATCACCATCCGAGATTCCGAACAACATTCCGCTCGTTACTTGGTAACCCGCTCGACGCTGCTCCCCAATGCCTGTTCGTATCTCCGCCCGACTCCCCTCCGCTCCCTCTCCCCCTGGGAGTGCGCTTGCGGATGCGCGCCTGCAGTGCCCGTGTGCTTGCGCCAGGCGCGACGTAACGCGAGGAGGAAGCCCGCGCGCGTGGCGGTGACCGGGGCGGGCGCGGGGAGGGGAAAGGCAAGGGGAGAGCGGGGGGGAGGGGGAGGACGAGGGGCTGTGGGGGAGGCTTCTGGCGCCGCGACCCGCGGAGCCCTCGAGGCCGCTTTCCGCGGCTACAGCCGCAACGAGTGCTTTGGCGTAGCCAGCTCCGTCCTGTCCATTGTCGTTATCCGGGCTCTGAGACTCCGCGCGCGCCGCTTCTCCCGCCGCTGGGCGCGTCCTCCGCGGTCGGCTGCCCTTGTGCTTTCCGCCGGCACCACCGCCGCGAGTCGCGGCGGTAATCACGGCATCCTGCCACTCCGGGTGTTCGGTTCCCCCGCGCGTACCGCCGTCGACGAGAGAGGCGGACTTTGAGCGCGAATGGCCTCCGCGAGCCTTGCGCGGCTGCCGTGGTGCCTGGCCCTGCGCATAGACAGATGCGCGGAGGCGCGGAGGGGGGAGGGAAGGGAGGGGCGAATGTGAGTGCGCCAGGGGAACACGATGAAGACGCAAACGCTGCGAGCCGGCGTGGGGGGCAGTCGCAATGGAGAAAATCTCTCGCGTGTTTCGCCTACATTGTTCGCCGAGCTCGCTTCCAACATCTCCTCACTTACCCTAGTCTGCACGCGATTCGCCACGTCAGCAAACACGTCCTCGACGCTCGCCAGCTCCGCAGAGTGCAGCACGTACATCTCCCCGAGCCGCAGCATCTCTTCCGCTGGCAAATTCCACCGCCGCCCGCGATTCGCGCCGTGATTCTCGCCGAGGTTCCCGGGTAGGTCCGGCTGCGACACGAGATACCCCGGGTGCTGCGCCAGCAGCTGCGCGACGGTGATTGGCTCGCGGAATCTCTCCGCGCGGCCGTCCGGCATTACCACCCACACCTCGCGCGACCCCGCTGCGCCCATGGCGGGGGAGTGGGGGAAAGGGGGGAGCGGAACGGGGAGGTACGCGCGGAGCGAGCCACGCGCGGAAGAAGCACTACGCGGCGTGACGGTTTGGACTGATTCGCGAAGCAGCACTGGGAAGTTCTGCAACAATGACGGGCTTAGAATGGAAGTACTAATGCCTGTAGCCGTAAAGTCTCGCGCAGCAATTCTGATGTCATCGCTGCTGCTCCAGCATTTTCAAGAGAGTGGATTGATTGGACGTACTTGGGTGAGCCTTTCTCTGTCTCGCAGCGTGTAAATTACGGGGTCTTACTACCACGTCTTATTGCGCTTGTGGTTGTTAGACTGCCGATTCAAGCAGGGTTGCCAGTACTAGACAGCCGCCATGAAGGAGATAAAATTTGGTGCACAACGGGAGGGTGGAAGGGGGGACGCGGGGGGAAGAGGGAGGGAGGGGGAAGAAGGGTGGCTGGGCTAGCTGGATGGGGGGAGGGGGGCGAGTGAAGTGCTGTACGGAGTAAGGGGGGGCGCAAATGTGCGAGCGGACGAGGCCGATTTCGTTGGAGTTCGTCGCAAGCGGAGACGGAGGTGACTGGCTGGATGGAGTTCGAGAATCGAGAAATTGCGACGCGAGTCGCGGTTGAGGTAGGGGCGCCCACGAGGCGAGTGGGGTGGTTGCGGGCGACGCACATAACTGGGTGTGGTAGTTTGTGGAATTGATCTGGGCTGCGCTGATCCGGGCTGGCAAAGCTTACAGTGAAATTTCCTGATTTGTCAAGCCTGCTCCTTACTGTACAGTTCGTTACTGCTACACCTCAACAGCTTTCTGACACAGATTAGCCACGGGTCTCGCTAAACCCCGAACATGATGACAAGGTTCGCTGAGCTACTATTGTTCAATCATGCACGAAGCTGCGAGTCTCGCTCGGAAATAACTTCACAAACCAGGGACTGTTCAGCGAAGGTGTTGCCTGGGCGTGCTTTTGACACGGCGAATCTGCCCGTAAATCTTACGGGCCTGCGGGAACGACCAGAGGGTGGTCAACTGAGAAACTGCTGACCGCCGATGCATCGGAACAGTAAGCGCTCTAAAACAGTCATTCTGGATAGACTCAATCGTTACATGTCCCGGTACCAGACAGTGAGATCAATTGTTCAAATATGAAACAATGCGAGCATACAAAGGCTAACTCAAAATAGCAAGCATTGCGCAAGATCGACAGATAGTGTCTGGGACCACGTTCACCATGCACAGGAAAAAAATAGAGTTATTTTCTCTAAAAAACTCTGATTGATGTTCTTTCCTGCATTTGATCCATCAGTTACTTAAAGAATGATATGGTATCATTTTTGTATCAGCAATACAGAAAGAAAGAAAGCATATGTGCTCTCACATTCAGATATCGCTTCTCAATATCGCGGTCAACTGGAGGAATGAGGTGTGCGCCTGTTCGAATCAATGCATATTTTAGTCCACAGGTCCGCTTTTCCCATATACCCTAGATTCCCTTCAACGCGACTAGCGCCTCCTTCGCAGAACAGGCCATGGCGTCTCAAGATTCCGAGTGTCGTGTCGTGGCGATATCAGCAGGCGCCAGTCACACCGTCGCCCTGCTCTGTGCGTGTTTCTTGGCATACCGTAGTCGTTCAATCGTTTTTACACGAGTAGATGCGTTTTATTCGATGTGTTGGTATGTTGGATAAATTTGTTTCGCGAATCTTCACCTCTACATGCTTATCTGCTGCACCGCTGATTTCCGCTTTCCGGTTGCGTTCCGAGCCTTTCCGCATCGCTGTAACCCGGTAACCCTAGAATTCAGCTACCGTGCCGACTTTTGCCTCGACTGCAAAGCCGTCGGCCATTCGCGCCCATAACCGCGCGCGTTCCCCCTTTCCCCCGTGCTCGCGTTCCTTCTTTCCCCGTGTGCGCGTGCAGCGGACGACCGAGTGTGCGCGTGGGGGCGCGGGGAGGATGGACAGCTAGGACTGGGCAGCGCGGAGGAGCAGCTGGAGCCCACCGAGGTCTCGGCGCTGGCGGGGAAGCGCGTGTCGGCGCTCGCGTGCGGCGCGGACCACACGACGGCGTACTCGGAGGACTCGCAGACGCTCTGGTCCTGGGGGTGGTGAGTTAATCGGCGGGTCGGCGGGTCGGCGGGTCGGTGGGTCGGTGGGGTGGTGAGTCTATCGGCAGGTCGGCGTGGTGGTTAGTTCATAGAGCGGGGGGGGGTGCAGCTGATAACAGGGGGTGGTGTGTCAATAGGCGGGGACGGTTTCTCAACGCCGATTCCCCCTTCCACTCATTACCCTACGCCCCCGTCCGCTAATCTCCCGCGTCCTCTTGCGCCCACCCCCGCCCGCCACGTCCCCCGGCCACGCGCAGGGGCGACTTTGGGCGGCTGGGCCACGGGCATTCGAGCGACGTGTTTCTGCCGCACGCCGTGGCGTCGCTGTGCGGACGGCCCATCAAGCACATTGCATGTGGCGACTGCCACTGCATTGCGGTTGACGCTAATGGCACCGCCTTCAGGTGATTGGGCGGACAGGTGGTGGACGGTCAGGTGCAGGTGGCGGGGCGCGCTGTTGCACTGGTAGGCGTCAAGGCCCTTAGGTGGCTCCTGGGGCGATCATGGCCCTGCTGACTCGGAGTTAGTTGCTGCACAGAGTCACAGACATGCTTAAACTCATCACAGCCCTTCGTCACTGCATTGGGCTTCCTCCTCCTCTCTCCTCTTCTCGGCCCCCTCACCCCCCACCCCTCCCGGTCCCCCCTCGCATCACCAGTTGGGGGCGCAATCAGAACGGCCAGTTGGGGCTGGGCACGCTGGACGACGCACTCGTGCCCACGCAGATCACGGCTCTCGCGGTAAGGCCCCCCCACTCCTCGCGGTAAGGCCCCCCCACTCCTCACGGTAAGGCCCCCCCACTCCTCGCGGTAAGGCCCCCCCACTCCTCGTGGTAAGCCCCCCCCACTCCTCGCGGTAAGCCCCCCCCACTCCTCGCGGTAAGCCCCCCCCACTCCTCGCAGTAAGCCCCCCCCACTCCTCGCGGTAAGCCCCTCTTTGAGTCGACTCACAGGTCACCTCGTTGGGGCCGGGCACCCTGGACAACGCCCTCGTGCCCACGCAGATCACCCCCCTCGCTGTAAGGCTCTCCCATCACTAGTCCCCCCATCCCCGCGCTCATGATGCAATCTCGCCTCCTGCCTCATCATCACACACTCTGCCTGCCCGTCACCGCTCCACTCAGATTGTTCCCTTGCCCTTTTCTTCCAAACTTCGTTTCCCCTGCCATCCCTTACCTCTGCCCTCCCCTCTACCCATCCACTTTTACATTACCACCAACCCATCCATCACCTCTCCTTCCGTCCCCATCCCCACCCTCCCCACCTTCTCCCTCTCTCATCCCCCCAACCTTCTTCTCCCCCGCTCCCCCCCTTTCCCCCCTTCTGCCTTCCCCCCGTGCAGGGCGTGCCGCTGAGGATGGTGGCAGCGGGAGCAGAGCACACAGCAGCGGCAGCGGAGGATGGGCGGCTGTACGGGTGGGGGTGGGGCCGCTACCCCTGCCCTCCCCTCTACCCTTCCCCTCTCCATTTCCACCAACCCATACATCGCCTCTCCCTCCTTTTCCCCCCTCCCCTCTTCTCCTTTCCATCCTCCACCCCCCCCACCTCCTTCCCCTCTCCCCCACACCACACCTTCCCCCTCTCTGTGCTGCAGGGCGTGCCGCTGAGGATGGTGGCAGCGGGGGCGGAGCACACAGCAGCGGCAGCAGAGGATGGGCGGCTGTACGGGTGGGGGTGGGGGCGCTATGGCAACCTGGGGCTGGGGGACCGGCTCGACAGGAAGCTGCCCGAGCAGGTCACAGCCATTGAGGTGCGCTGAGGGGGATGGTGAGGTAGCGTGTAGGGTCATGGGCATGGGTGAGAGGTCAATAGGTGCATTTAGGGCCACAGGCATCGGGGTGTGAAGGGGTGGGGGTGGGGGTGCTACAGCAACCTGGGGCTGCGGGGCCGCCTTGACAGGAAGCTGCCCGAGCAGGTCACAGCCATTGAGGTGCGTGGGGGGAACAGAGTGGTAGCATAGCGCAGATGGCGTGTGGGTGGTAGCATAGTGCAGATGGCGTGTGGGTGGTAGCATAGCGCAGATGGCGTGTGGGTGGTAGCATAGCGCAGATGGCGTGTGGGTGGTAGCATAGCGCAGATGGCGTGTGGGTGGTAGCATAGTGCAGATGGCGTGTGGGTGGTAGCATAGTGCAGATGGCGTGTGGGTGGTAGCATAGCGCAGATGGCGTGTGGGTGGTAGCATAACGCAGATGGCGTGTGGGTGGTAGCATAGCGCAGATGGCGTGTGGGTGGTAGCATAGCGCAGATGGCGTGTGGGTGGTAGCATAGCGCAGATGGCGTGTGGGTGGTAGCATAGCGCAGATGGCGTGTGGGTGGCGGAACACGATAGCAGTGAACGGCGATGCCCTCCCATACATCACCTCTTCCCTCTCCACTTCCCCACCTACTCTCATCCGATTCTCTGTTGCCGGCAGTCAGAGCGCATAGCGCAGGTGGCGTGTGGGTGGCGGCACACGATAGCAGTGAACGGCGATGGGCGGCTGTTCACGTTTGGGTGGAGCAAGTACGGGCAGCTGGGGCATGGCGACTTCCAGGACCACCTCACGCCCTCGCCCGTGCCCGCCATGCAAGACAAGTGTATCGTGCAGGTGAGATGATTTGTGCACTGCTTTGTCCAGAGGTCTCCTCCCATTCCTTACACCATCTGTCTGTCTGTCTCAACAGGACTTTTGAGGCACTTGACTGCATCCGGAAAGGACTTCTGAGGCACTTGACTGCATCCGGAAAGGAATTTTGAGGCACTTGACTGCATCCGGAAAGGCGTCTCAACACATTTTTTGCACACTTCACCCATCAGCCATGTGGTAACAGTCTCACTGCCCTCCAATCTCCGTCCCCTTGCCTTTGAGTGCAAACAGGTGTCAGGAGGGTGGCGGCATTCAGTTGCTCTGGATGCGGATGGCGTGGTGTACGCGTGGGGATGGAACAGAGTGAGTGTGGTGGAACAGAGTGAGTGCTGTGACAAAGTGAGCGAGTGGGATGGAATAGAGTGAGAGAGTGGGTTGGAACAGAGGAGGAATGCAAGGGATTGGAATGAGGGAGAGTGAGAGGCGCCAAGTGGTGCAGAGTGAGTGTTTCATGCGATTGTTTTGACCGTCCACACATGCCATCGCGTACCTCTCTATGTACCATGCTCTTGTTGACCTCTCCTCACCATTCTTCTCTACACTCTCCTTTCTCTGCCGCTCTCTTGCCTCACCCGCCCATCAGTTCGGGCAGGTGGGAGTGGGCAACTCGGAGGACCAGTGCTCGCCCCAGCGGATAGAGAGCATTTCCGAGGTCAGCTGTGTGTCTGCTGTGTACGGACGGAGGGGGGAAAGGGGGGGATCGATGGGAAGGGGAAGGGATGGAAAAGGGGAGGAGTGTTGAGAGGGAATGGGTTTCATGGCAGTCATGCTTCTGTGCTCCCCTTGCTGCACTGCTCCCCAACTCCCCACATCCACACGTTCTCCCCTTCCCTGCCCACCTCGCACCTCCCTCTCTTTGCCTCTGTGCCCCTCCTCACGCTCGTTTCCTCCCTCTGCTCCATTCCTCCTCCCCTCCCTCCCCTTCCCCAAACCCTGTGGCGGCAGCGGGTGGTGGCGGTGGCGTGTGGGTGGCGGCACACGGTGGTGTTGAGTGAGGGTGGCAACGTGTTCTCGTGGGGGCGAGCCACCAGCGGGCAGCTGGGCCACGGGGATACCACCGACAGGTGGGGGAGCTGCTGTGTGGCGAGGACAGGTGGGAGTGTGGGGGAGCTGCTGTGTGGCGAGGACAGGTGGGAGTGTGGGGGAGATGCTGTGTGGCGAGGACAGGTGGGAGTGTGGGGCTGCTGCTGTGTGCTGAGATGCTTCAGAATTTGTGTGGCATGGTGCTGTCTGGGGCGGGGTAGGCGTGCGGCCCAGGGTTGCACCATGTGCCACAGCCCCATGTGCCACAGCCCCATGTGCCACAGCCCCATGTGCCACAGCCCCATGTGCCACAGCCCCATGTGCCACAGCACCATGTGCCACAGCCCCATGTGCCACAGCCCCATGTGCCACAGCACCATGTGCCACAGCCCCATGTGCCACAGCCCCATGTGCCACAGCACCATGTGCCACAGCCCCATGTGCCACAGCCCCATGTGCCACAGCACCATGTGCCACAGCCCCACATGCCACAGCCCCACATGCCACAGCCCCACATGCCACAGCCCCACATGCCACAGCCCCACATGCCACAGCCCCACATGCCACAGCCCCACATGCCACAGCCCCACATGCCACAGCCCCACATGCCACAGCCCCACATGCCACAGCCCCACATGCCACAGCCCCACATGCCACAGCCCCACATGCCACAGCCCCACATGCCACAGCCCCACATGCCACAGCCCCACATGCCACAGCCCCACATGCCACAGCCCCACATGCCACAGCCCCACATGCCACAGCCCCACATGCCACAGCCCCACATGCCACAGCCCCACATGCCACAGCCCCACATGCCACAGCCCCACATGCCACAGCCCCACATGCCACAGCCCCACATGCCACAGCCCCACATGCCACAGCCCCACATGCCACAGCCCCACATGCCACAGCCCCACATGCCACAGCCCCACATGCCACAGCCCCACATGCCACAGCCCCACATGCCACAGCCCCACATGCCACAGCCCCACATGCCACAGCCCCACATGCCACAGCCCCACATGCCACAGCCCCACATGCCACAGCCCCACATGCCACAGCCCCACATGCCACAGCCCCACATGCCACAGCCCCACATGCCACAGCCCCACATGCCACAGCCCCACATGCCACAGCCCCACATGCCACAGCCCCACATGCCACAGCCCCACATGCCACAGCCCCACATGCCACAGCCCCACATGCCACAGCCCCACATGCCACAGCCCCACATGCCACAGCCCCACATGCCACAGCCCCACATGCCACAGCCCCACATGCCACAGCCCCACATGCCACAGCCCCACATGCCACAGCCCCACATGCCACAGCCCCACATGCCACAGCCCCACATGCCACAGCCCCACATGCCACAGCCCCACATGCCACAGCCCCACATGCCACAGCCCCACATGCCACAGCCCCACATGCCACAGCCCCACATGCCACAGCCCCACATGCCACAGCCCCACATGCCACAGCCCCACATGCCACAGCCCCACATGCCACAGCCCCACATGCCACAGCCCCACATGCAGGGCAGTGCTGCAGACAAGCCTCGTGGCGGTTGCCCCTCATGCCTGCATGCACTCTCTCCCCCTGGCCCACTTTCCAGGAACCTGCCCAAGCGAGTGGAGGCGATAAGCGCGGACGGTGACAGGTGTCGCCACATCAGCGGGCCGGGCGGCAAAAAGGACGTGGCAGCAGCAGCGCATGCGGAGGTGCCGGATGCCGCTGCCATGTGGGTGTCTCCTGCTGAGCGCTACGCCGTCGTGCCGGGGGAGAAGGTGAGAGGGTTGGAGGGGGAGAGGGTGGGTGGTGTGGGCGGGACGGGGGGAAAAAGGGGGGAAAGGAGAAACGTACACCTGGGTTGTGTGAGTGGTCACTTCGATGGCTCTGATGGTGAGTGGGGGTTTTGGAATGCCATGCTACCAGTACACTGTCCTTGACTTGACTGCGTTCCCCAGTGGCATATCCTGTCAACTCCTGTCAACCCGCACTTCCTCTTACCAGCCAATGCTCTCTCAGCATGCTTATGACCTTTGTCGATGTGACCGGCCCGTATTCATCTCGTGAGCATTCACGTGCGGTGCTGTGCTGGCCTCATTGCATGCAGGCGGGGGAGGACGATGCGAGTGTGCCAGACGCGGATTCCAAGCGACTCAAGGCTTGAACAGTGCACAGCTGTCGTCACCCAGCTACCAGATCCTTCTCTCCTAACACGCACTCCCCTTTCCTTAGTGTCGTCTCTCTCCATGTGAACTAAGTAGGTCTGCACAGCACATGTGTTGCAGAGAGCTTGCATTGACTCCTGGGCATCCAGGGCTCCGAGGTGATGGGCCACAGACTGCACTGAGCAGAAAATTTACCGGTAGGTTGACAAAATAAACATACCTTATTATTCCGGCTATAGGACCCGGGGGACTTTCTACAAATGCAGAAAAAAATGCTAGGGTGGACATATAGTTGGCATACATTTTTTTAAGACCCGGGTGTGCTTATTTGTGTAACAATGTAATGGGATTTACCATGTACTGTTCGTTTTAAGGGAGGGGGGGGGTGGGGGGGGGGGGTTGGTTCTTATATTCGGTAACGAGAAACACCCCTCGTCTTACATTCACGCGAGCGGCGAGTCAGATTTGTGTCAGAATTCGCGTCTGACACAAAAAAAATGTCAGAATCGAAATCTGACGCATACAGCATGTCAGAATTCAAAATAATGGCTATAAAAGCTGACGCGCAATTGCATTTACGACTACTGTATGTAAAAGGGGGGTCTTATATTGTTTAGGGGCAAAAGGGGGGTCCTCACATTTTGGTACCAAAATAAGAGTCCCAGTACCCCATAGAGAGTCCCGGGGGACCCTTTTACCGGCGGGTCCTGTAGCCGGAATGATACGGTATAAGCTTAGCTGACACACATGACAATGAGTTTGTACGACCTTGCAACTGCTAAGAGCCCTCATTTTCTCTGAGCAGTGGAGTACATCTGTTGGCCGTCCACGCCATAAAAGGCGACAGTGAGTTGTCCCCTGGCCACTTGAGGGCGCTGAAGCCCCGGCACGGCGCTCACTTTTCCAAGCTAGTGGAGTACATCTGTTGGCCGTCCACGCCATAGAATGCAACTGTGAGTCTGTCCCTGTTCACCTGCAGTGCGCTGAAGCCCTGGCCGGGAAAGTAGAAGCGCAGCCCTGGGGCTTCTGAGGGGGCGTCGCTGCGCCATGCCTTGGATCCACCGCCCACCGTGAAATAGTTTACTGGACTGGGATGGAAGGAGAGGAGGGAGGTGGGAGAGAGGGGAAAGGAGAGAGATGAGGTGGAAGGCAAGGGGAGTGGGTTGAATGGAGTGGTGAATGGTGAGAAGGTGAGGACATGGCGAAAAAAATGCAGTGAGGTTTTTCCTTGGTGCAGATATGCAAGTCCATGGTGGAAAGGCAGAGAAGCGTGCAACAGTGCACTAGTATCAGTACCTGTCATTCCTCTTCACATGCTGCATGTCATGGTCGTGGCCGTTTAGATATGCGTCCACTCCGTACCGCTGGTGAGTAATGGTGGGGGAGAACGGAAGGGAAACAGGAGATTTAAAGCGCAGCACATAGACATGCGTGGGCACATGCACACAGAGGTCAATCATCGATGCATCTACTCAACCTGGTGAGACGCTGACCGCCAACCCTCCAACCCACCCACCAATCCACCAGCAGTACTGACCGCATTCCCTCCCACCTGCACTAAACTGGCACACCCCTTCCTCTCACCTCAAGCAGCGGCTTGACCAATCATCTCCTGCTGGTGCTGCCAGTCGATCATCTCCTGCTGGTGCTGCCAGTCGATCATCTCCTGCTGGTGCTGCCAGTCGATCATCTCCTGCTGGTGCTGCCAGTCGATCATCTCCTGCTGGTGCTGCCAGTCGATCATCTCCTGCTGGTGCTGCCAGTCGATCATCTCCTGCTGGTGCTGCCAGTCGATCATCTCCTGCTGGTGCTGCCAGTCGATCATCTCCTGCTGGTGCTGCCCATAGCTGAACACTGGGTGCTGCCCATAGCTGAACACTGGGTGGTGCCCATAGCTGAACACTGGGTGGTGCCCATAGCTGAACACTGGGTGGTGCCCATAGCTGAACACTGGGTGGTGCCCCACCACCACCTGCAGCAGCACTGGCACCCACAGCCCATCCCCCTTCTTTCCTCTTCGCTTCCCACAACCTTCCACCCCCTCTTCCCTCTCTCACCTCGAGCAGCGGCTTGACGTGGTCGATCATCTCCTGCTGGTCGCCATGGTGCCCGTAGCTGAACACGGGGTGGTGCCCCACCACCACCTGCAGCAGCACTGCCCCTCCCATCCCCCCATCAACCCCATCCTCTTTCCCTTATCCTCCTTCCTCACCTCGAGCAGCGGCTTGACGCGGTCGATCAACTCCTGCTGGTCGCCGTGGTGCCCATAGCTGAACACCGGGTGGTGCCCCACCACCACCTTCCACCGCGCCCGCGAGTTGCCCAACCACCCCTCCAGCTCCTGCAGCGCATTTGATAAGGGAAAGAGGGGAATGCAGGGGAGGGAGGGAGGGGGAGGAGAAGAGGGGCGGAGGTCATCATGCAAGCGGCAGAAATTGGCAGGGAGAGTTTAGGGGGGGCGGGAAGGAAGGAGTTGCAATGGTATCAAGAGCCTTGGGGAAGCTGTGTGATGGTATCATGCTCAAGGCAATGGGTCAGGAGCCAGCGCAGCAGCAGGTGTCTTCCCTCCCCTCTCCTGCACCTGCCTTCTTTTGAGATGCCTCAAGAATGCGCTCACCTGCAGCTGAGCGGCCTCCTGCTGAGTCCAGTTAGCGGAGTTGAGTCCGCGCCAGTCCACGCGCCGCCCCTTCTTGTGGCGGTACGCGGGCACGAGGGGCGTGGTGTCGTAGAGGAACAGGTCAACCAGGTCAACGCAGTCAACGCTGGCGGACGGGCAGAGCGGCAGGGAGAGCGCCATGCTGCGGCGGCACACCCAGCGCGGGTCCCTGTTGGCGAGCGCAGGGTGCAGCTGAGCGAGGGCGTTGCCGTAGTAGTCGTGGTTGCCCAGCACTGGTGGAGAGGGTGTGGGGGCGGAAAAGGGGGAGGGGTAGTGTGATGTGACAGGTGGTGAACTGCGATGAAGTGAGGTACATATGCTGGTGTGAGCACTAACACAAGGATGCGTTACGGAATTGCTCGCACACGGGAAAATGCTGTATTGCATCAAGCTCTCATGCATGCTACTCCTGTTCATGCGCATACGAATGCCGGCGCACAAACAGGTGCAAGAGGAAGTGCACAGTGCGTCCCTTTGTGCGCAAGAGTGCGACAAACGAGTGAGAGGGGGGGAAGGAATGATCAAGAGAGGGAGGGTGAGAAAGATAGGGTGGCATACCTGCATACCAGGGGACCTGCAGGGTGCGATGGGTGTAGATGTTGGTGAAGGAGCGCGCGAACTCGTCATCGTTCACGTCCGTCAGCCCCTCGTCGTAGAAGTTGTCCCCCACCGACACCACGAACTGCGGCGCCATTTGCTTCCCCACTGCACCCATCTGCACCGCACAGGCGTACAAGGGAAGATGGGTACATTGCGTTGCAAGGAAGGGGGTTGTGGATGGCGCGTGATCACAGCGCAAGGGACGATGAAAAAGGGTGTGCGTCGCACCTGCTGTGCGATGAGCGATTGGTTGAACGTGCCGTTGCGACCCCAGTCGCCGAATGCGAAGAAACGAACAGCCGCGCTGCTGCTGCTGCTGCTGCTGCTTTCGGCGGCACCATCAGCTCGTGTCGCAAGGCCAGCTCGGCGCGGCTCGAGGAGGCAGAGCGCGGCGAGCAGAGCGACGCACCCGACGACAGCGGCGATCCTTGCAGCTGCAGCGATGCGACGTGCACCCGGGGAATGCGGCGTTGAAGGGCTCCCATCGCTGGGCGTCACGTGTCTTGCGGGAGCAGAAACCTGAGGAGAGGCGACGGTGATGCAACGAGGTGAAGAGGAGGGAATGAAGGGGGATATTGGGAGGAATGCGGAAGCAGAGCCGCGCAAGACGACAGATTCATCATGAACTGCAATGCGCACATTTCTGGCTCATCACGGCGCATTCCCCTTCGCGCTGCGCCGTACCTCGCGCGGCAACAGCGGCGTGGTGACGTGGACCGTCACATCGCTCGCCGCCTCCGCCCCTCCCGCCATGCCTGCCGCTGCGAACTTCTGTCTCGCGTTGGTCCGTCTGGGTCAATGTCGCCGGCAACTACGCGCCGCTGCTCGCGAGCGAAGGCGAGCGAATTCGCAATGCTGCTTTGAGAATGGCGTGAAGCAGCGAGGAGATATGGAGGATGGTGGTGGTGGTCCGTCAGCAGCGACGGTGCGCAGGCGCACGCGCTCGGGCCTGGCCTCGAGATGTGCTGCGCGGGAATGATGCCGTGCTGCCTTGGGCTCGGAAGCACCTTCACTGGAACAACCAAGGAGCAAAATTGCCTCGGGAACTGGGCTGCCTTGGGAACAAGTTTGCCCTGGGAACTGTCTGCCTTGGAAACTGGGCCACACTAGATCCGAGGGAAGATACCTTCAATAACTACACTCCACGAACGCGTTGCCTATTGCGCAAGAGTTTTTGACAGATAGGAGAAATTGTTTGTTAGCAATTTACACCGATTGCATACAAAGTGTGCACTCAGATTGCTTTCAGCATTCTGGGTCCGCGAACCTAGTAACGAGGAAGTGCCGTTTCGTCTTCTAACCGCCATCTGTTACGCCTGCGATGCCCACAGAAAGCCAGAACGAGACGTTTCGTCTCCTCGCTTTCCCCAACGACATCGGCCGCACGTTCAACGAGCAGATGCAAGAAGCTTTTGGGGAGCGAGCGAGCGCAGATCCAGCAGCGGAACCGAGCGGTCACGCTTGTTGCGCGAACCCCTCACCCAGAAGTGAAGCGAAACAGCTCCATTCACGTGGCTCCACCGCACATGATCGGGTGCGGTAGTGGTAGCGGTGCTTGGTGTAGCAGGTACGATGCAGGCCTTGGCGCTCAATTCAAGTTGCGCGCAACGACTCGAGGCTCTGCTGATTCCAGCAGGAGATGGCTAACCGCCGCAGCTCTGTAGGAGGATACCTCCGAATGCGAGCACACGCACCTGAGAGCAGCAACTAACCGCCCGTCACGCACATCCACCCACGCTACTACTAGCTGCAGCATCGCCCGCACATTTTTAGAAGCGTTCAGACCTGCTCAGACCCTTGAGAGCTTGTGAGCTGCTATTTGTAACCTGCGCGCATCACCCGCATGGCTCCGCTCACCCGCGCCACCGCGCTGCCTGCACAGCGACCCGCCGCCAACCTTGTGGCGGAGCCCAGCGTCATGCGCACTGTCCCCCGATTCCTTCCGCTCGCAGCCGTCTCCGCGCGCCCCTCCGCCTCCACGCCCGCCAAGCCGGGGGGCCCGTTGCGGCTGGTGCTGCCCGCGGGAATTGGACGAGCACCGGGCGCCAGCCGGGCACATGAGCAGCAGGGGGAGCGGCAAGCGGAGCAACCGCGCGAGGAGGCGATCAAGGGAGCATCCCCCGCCAGCAGCGCGCGCCCGCTGCTCTCCGCCACTTTGGGGGCGCATGGCGCGGCTTCCAGGGGAACCAAGGCGCGGGCAAAGGCGGCGGATGTGGATACGGGGGCAGAGAATGCGCGGGGTCGTGGGGGAGCCGGCAAGGAAGGGGAGGCGGACAGCGGTGACGGTAGCGGAGGTGGCGAGGGGGCGATGGAGGGGCGGATGGAGGGGGCGGAGAGGAGGGGAGGCGGCAGCAGCAGCGAGGCCAGCGGAGGGCTGATAGGGGAGCAGGATAGGGGGAGCAGGGGGGGCGAGGAGGGGGAGGAGGACGGGGAGAAGGAGCAGAGGAGGCGGAGTGGCGGAGGGCGGGGGGGAGCAGCGGCGGTGAACAGGGGGGCGTGGACGGCGGAGGAGGACGAGCGGCTGGCGGCGCTGGTGGCGGTGCATGGGGCGAAGAACTGGAGCGCCATCGCTGCTGCCATCCCTGGCCGACCCGGGAAGAGCTGTAGACTCAGGTGCGGTGCGTCACACGGTGCAGAGCGGTGCAGTGCGGTAAGGTGGGGTGAGATGTGCTGGTGGCGGTGCACGGGGCGAAGAGCTGGAGCGCCATCGCTGCTGGCATCCCTGGCCGGCCTGGGAAGAGCTGCCGACTCAGGTGCGTCACACGGTGCAGTGCAGTGAGGTGAGGTGGAGTAAGGTGACAGATAGATGTGTGAAAGCAAGGGGGTGATTTGCCGACGATCTGTTTCACTCTTACTACAATAGAGTCGCCATTTATTATTTCCTTATCATGTGTCCCCTTGCAAGCACATCCCTGTCCCTCCATCATCCCTACATCCCTCTGTCCCCTCCCCCACATCAGGTGGTGCAACCAGCTGGACCCGGCGTTGAGGCGGGGCCAGTTCACAGTGGAGGAGGATGCGCGCATCATCACAGCACACGCCCCTCCCTCTCTCCCTTCCTCTATCCCTCTCCCTCGTGGCAGGTGGTGCAACCAGCTGGACCCCGCATTGAGGCGGGGCCAGTTCTCCCTGGAAGAGGATGCGCGCATCATCACAGCGCATGCCATCCACGGCAACAAGTGGGCCCTCATCGCCAAGAACCTTCCCGGACGGTGCGTGCCTCCTGCCCTCAGCACCGTTCACTTTGCCACCCGTTGTCCATTCCGCTTCTTCTCCTCATCTCTCCACAGCTCCCCTCCCTTCCTCCACACAACAACCTCTTATATACTCCTCCTTACTCACACCTATGGAACCCTCTCTTCCCCCTCTTCCCCCTGACACTCTCCTCACCACAGCACGGACAACGCCATAAAGAACTATTGGAACTCCGCCATGCGCCGCAAGTACCCCCTCCTGCGCGGCCTCCTCTCCACACCCGCTCCTGGGCCCCCACAACACTCCGCCTCCCCCTCCCACCCTACCCCGGGGCAGTCTGGCGGGCAGCAGCAGGGCGAGGGGGAGAGCGTGTACGAGCGCGCCGTGCGGTTTGTGGGGGCCGTGCAGGCGAGGGGCGTGGCGGCTCTGGTGGAGGAGGTGGAGCGAGTGAGGGAGGAGGAGGGCGTGGGGCGCATCCGCAAGATCCTGGAAGGTTCCCCTTTGGGGGATGCCGCGCTGCTGCAGGCTGCGGAGAGGGAGTGGCGCGAGAGAGAGGCGCGCGGGCGAGGGGGGGATGGGGGAGGGGGGTTGGGGGGAGGAGAGGACGAGGAAGGAATTGCGAGGGATGGGGACAGGGACGATGAGGAGGCGGGAATCATGGAGAGGGAGGTGGGAGTAAGTGAGGGGGACGAGAGGTCGGAAGGAATGGCAGAGGAGAGTGAGGAGTGGGGAGGGCAAAGAGGCAGGGCAAGGGCGGGAGTCGGTGAAGTGGAGCTGGAGGAGGAGGGGGAGGGAGAGGCGGCACAGGGAGTGGAGACTGGCGAGGGGGAGCGGTGTTGGCGTGGGCGCCTTGAAAGGGAGGCAGTGAGGGAGGCAGTGCAGCAGGCAGGTCATGGGGAGGCGAGGGCAGGGGAGTGCAGGGCGAGTGAGGCGAGAAGAGGGGAGAGAGGAGTGAAGCAGGAAGTGGCGGAGGGGGTGGAGGGGATGGAAGAGGAGGGTGAGTGGAGTGCCCCTGAGCCACACACCTCCACAGCATGTGCTCTCCCTCCGCCCCTGACACAGTGTGACCTCGTGCCTGTTGCCAGCCGGACCCCCAGCATCAGCCATGCGACGAGCGGGGGAGGTGGCAGTGACAGCAGGCATGCTGGGGGCATGCCTGTGGGGATCCAGGGTGGGGGTGACTCACTTGCATGCGGTGCAGGTGGGGGCAGCAGCAGGAAACGGCGTTACGATGCCTGCTTTGGTGATCATGGGGGTCATGATGGCGATCATGCTCCTGCTGCGGTTGCTGGTGGTGCTTCTGGTGGTGCTTCTGGTGGTGCTTCTGGTGGTGCTTCTGGTGATGCTTCTGGTGGTGCTTCTGGTGGTGCTTCTGGTGGTGCTTCTGGTGGTGCTTCTGGTGGTGCTTCTGGTGGTGCTTCTGGTGCTGCTGATGCTGCTGGTCGCACTGGTGGTGGTGACACTCCTGTTGCTGGCGGTGGTGGTGGGAACACGAGCCAGCACGAGAATCTTTCCTGCCATTTTGATCGCCGCCTTCGCTTCCGAGCCTCGCCTACTGCTCTCCCTCCCACCCCCACGGCGCCTGCACCTGCTACTGCCTCAGCACCACCGCTGCTGCCTCCCACACTTCCTCCCACCACCACCTCTGCTGCTGCCACCTGCCCCATCTCTCACGCCTCTCAAGGCACCACCCACCAGCCACAGTCGCCCTTGCCATTGCCATCGTCCCCACCACTCGCTCCCTCCTTCCCTGTCTCCTCCACTCAACCCCACCACCACCCCTCCCTACACCTCTCTTCGCGCTTTTCATTCGCCACTCTCCCCTCTGGCCTCTCTCACTCCTCTCTCCTCCCTGCCACCCACACCCTCTCCGTTCTCCAGCCCTCACAACCACCCAATCCTCCGACACCCCTTAATTCCCAGCCACTGCCGCTTGACCGAGCCTCAGGTCCTGGTTCGGGTGAAAGCGGCCTGGTAGGTGCAGGGCAGGCGGCAGCGAAACATGGTGGTGGTGGCACGAGGGGCGGTGGAGGAGGGAGCGGGAGCATGAGGGGGGTGGGTTTGGGGGCATTTCAGTTGGGGAAGGTTTTTACTGCAGTTCAGGTGACAGGGGGCGATGAGAGCTTGTGCATGCACAGGGGGTGTGAGGGCGATGAACAGTGTAAGGCGGCCACGAGAGAAGGGGAGAGGCAAGGACAAGAGTGGGAAAAGGAAGGGGGCTGTGGGGGAGAGAGAATGGAGGTGACGGGGGTTACGGAGGAGGAAAGCAGAGGGCTGCAGAGGATGGAAAACAGTGGGTCAGGGCAAGAGAAGGCCCTGTGCTCACATGGAATAGATCAGACCAACTCACATCCCTTGCAGTACAGTCTGCATGCAAACACATGCCTTGCTGCAGTCCCAGAGCCAATGCAAGACTGCCACGTGGCAGGGCAGGGGCGATGTGGATCACGGGTGCGGCGGCACGTGCATCGGGTGGCGGCGTCGGCATGTGGGTTGGCGCATCTGCTGCTGGAGGAGCTGCAACGGCGGCACGGAGTGGTGGAGGGGCGAGCTGACGAGGAAGCGGCGGAGGAGCGGCGGCGAGGGGAGCCAGGGGATGTGAGCTGTGGTGAGGGGTCACAGGCGAGAGCACTGGTGGGGGATGCGGGATGTTGCCGGGATGAGCGGTGCTGTACGGTGAGCCGCGGTGCTGTTGAGGGTGCAGCAGAGGGCATGGCGTGCCGGCATCTGCTGGATGCTATGCTGACTGTGTGCCTAAGACTTGCTGCTTCAAGTGGGAATGGGAATGGGGAGTGCAGAAATAGTCTTGCTGATGCAAATGTTCATGATTGATATTAGTGTGCACGAATTACTCTATCCTTGTAAAGATGTACAGCCGATTGCAAAACGAGATTTGGAGAGTTTTAAAGCAAATATCCAGCATCATTTTATCTTGTGTGAATCTACCGTATCATACTATAGTGCGTACATTGTAACAGCAATAGTCTGGATGAAGAGTGTGCATTCACCCGTTCATTGTCGAGAGCCTCTATGGGAGTTCCTAAAGAACACGCTTTGTGCCGTTAGTGGCTATCCCACCATCCTGGGTCTAGTTTACGCGCGCTTTTCCCGCCACTCCACCGAGCCACAATCGAGACCCACCGCTTTCCGAGTCAGTTATAACGTTAATTAATTTCGTGCTCTCCGGTCCTTGCGCCACACCGCGCAAGATGCCTTCGTAGCTGGGCCCTAGACCGCGCAATTGTCGCCGTAAACTCCGCTGCGAGTCCCGCTACTGGGTGCGCGGCGCCATGGCGAGGAGCGAGGCGCGGAGAGGACCCGCGCGGGCCTCGGGGAAGCGACCGCACGCCGCCTCGTCGCGAGCAGCCTCGTCGCATAGCACGTCGCACGGCGCGTCGTCAGCGTCGCCACGATCGCCGTCACCACAATGGCACAGTAGGGGCCCCGCAAACGACTTTCCCCCATGGGCGCGGCGTGAGAGCGCGGGGAGCGCGTTCGCGGAGCGGGCGGCCCGATACTGCGCGGTCGCGTGGCGCGTGGCGGGGGCGGCAGCGCGGGTGGCGGCGGCGGCGGGCTTGTGGGCGGCGGTGGCGGCGGCGGCGTTCGTGATCCGCGGGTGTGCGTCGCTGGTGCCGCCGTCGCTGGGGTCGGCGGTGCTGCCGCTGGTGGGCGCGATGGTGGGCATGGGTCGTACCCTCGGCTGGCTCGTACTGCTGCCCTCCCTCGTACGCACCCCCCTCGCCCCCCCCCTCGCGCCCCCCCTCGCCCACCCCCTCGCACGCCCGCTCCCTCCTCCATCCACCCCCTGCCTCACACATCCCCTCCTTGTGCGTGCACCCCCCCTGCCACTCTGATTGCCGCCATCCCCACGTGACTGCTCCCCTCACGCCTCCCACCCCACCTGCTTTCCCCCCACTTCCCCCGCTTTTCCCCCCCTCCCGTCTGCACCCGCCCGCCCCCCGATTCGCCGGGCGGCATGCAGGTGGTGCTGGTGCTGCTGTCATTCTTCCTGCCGCTGCTGCTCACACTGGCGCTGTTGGTGCTGCTGGCGCTCTTCACAGCGCTGCGCGCCAAGCTGTTGCTGTTCGCCCTCGCCACCGCCCTCACAGCAGGTCAGACCTCACAGCAGGTCAGCCCTCACCGCTGGTGAGACCTCACAGCAGGTCAGCGCCGCCCCATTCAGAGCAGCTTTCTCAGGTGGTTGTTGAGAGTTATCAAACACCAACTGTTCCCTTGCCTTCCCACACACACACACTCACGCCTCGCCTGCCTCCCCTCTCTCCCCCTCTGGTGCTCACCTGTCCCCCTGAATCCCGCAACCGCAACATCACCTTTCTCCCCCCGCCCACCCTCCCTCCCACCCCCGCTCTACCCCCTCCCCCTTCCCCACCCCCCCCCCCGGCCCGACCGTCCACCAGGGATAGTGGCAGCGAGCGGGTCCCCCCGGGCAGCATTACTGCTGCTGGTGGCATCCACAGTGTACCATGTGGTGGTGCGCGCAGGGCTCACCACGCTGTGCTTCACGCTGCTCGCCTCCTTCCTCGCCTGCGACCTCCTGCTCCTCCTCGCCTCCTCCCTCCAAGACGACCCCTCCCAACCCGACTCCTCCCCCGCAAACCAATCCCAAGCAAGCACGGCTGGGGGGGAGAAGCCAGGGGGAGGGGTGGGGGGAGAAGCAGGGGAGGGGGGAGTGGGGTTGGCAGGGGGAGGGGGGGCCGGGGGAGAGGCGTGTGGGGGCGGGGAGATAGAGCGCATAGTGCGGTGCAGCAACCACTACGAGGTGCTTCGCCTGGCGCCCTTCTGTGCGGCCGTGGACGAGGGCGCTCTGAAGAAGGAGTACCGCCGCATGGTGGGGGCCGGGGGGGAGGGGGGAGGGGGAATGGGGAATGGGGAATGGGAGAGGGCGCGTGGGGGGGAGGGTGACTTGGGAGATGGAGGGGTTCGGGGGAAGGGGACGAGGTTGGGGAGGGTAGGAGGCTGGGAAGAGGCTGGGAGAAAGTGGTGTGCAGAGCTTGATGGGAATTACGTGTGAGCTTGTAGTATGCGGTTGACCAACCAAAGCAGTTGCTCACTTACGGTGATGACTTGTGTGCCTCTGCCTATGCCTGTGCATGTGCATATGACGTGCATGTGCCTGTGCATGTGCCTGTGCATGTGCCTGTGCCTGTGCCTGTGCCTGTGCATGTGCATGTGCCTGTGCCCGTGCCTGTGCCTGTGCCTGTGCATGTGCCTGTGCCTGTGCCTGTGCATGTGCCTGTGCCTGTGCATGTGCCTGTGCCTGTGCATGTGCATGTGCCTGTGCCTGTGCATGTGCCTGTGCCTGTGCCTGTGCATGTGCCTGTGCCTGTGCATGTGCATGTGACATGCATGTGACCTGCAGGCAATGCTAGTGCATCCGGACAAGCATGGGGGGGATGAGAAGAATGCCATAGTGGCGTTTCAACGCCTGCAGAGTGCATACGAGGTACACCATGTGCTCTCTTCATAAATGACGCACTGACCACCACTCTACGCCACTGCATGTGCTCGTTGGCATCTCTTCCCTTTTCCCTTCGCTTGTCTATCAACGTGGTTGTGTGTGTGTGTGTGTGTGTGTGCGCGTGCGTGCGTTTGTGTGTGCGTGCATGCGTGCGTGCGTGTGTGTGTGCGTGTGCGTGCGGTGGGGTGGCGGGCAGGTGTTATCAGACGAGGGGAGGCGGCGAGAGTACGAGGGCGAGCTGAGGCGCGAGCAGCTAGTGGAGCTCATCACCCGCAGGGCTGCACACATGTGGCAGGTCCGTGCTGACGTGGCAGGTAAGTGCTGATGTGGCAGGTCCGTGCTGATGTGGCAGGTCCGTGCTGACGTGGCAGGTCCGTGCTGACGTGGCAGGTCAGTGCGATATGGCAGTCCAGTGTTGTTTGGGCTGATGGCAAGTTAGCTTAGCATTGGGGCTGTGGGTAACCATGGAGTGGTAGGCTGAACAGAAATGGCAGGAACGAGTGGGGCTGATAGGGTGCTGTATGTATGGTGGTGGCAGGAGGCGAGGGAAGCAGGTGAGGAAGGCGTGGTGGTAGGAAGTGGAGTTGGCGGATGGATTTTCCTCGCCCCTGCATTTATTCAATACTGCTGCTTCTCCTCTCCCAAATTCCTTCCCCTCCCCCCCGAATTCCCCCTTCCCCCCCCCTTCCCCCCCTCTTCCCCCCTTACAACCCCATGTGGTGTCCAGACGAGCAGCACAACAGCTGGCAGGGCGGCACCAGGGGGCATGGGCGGGGCAGCAGGGAAAGGGGGAGGGGGGATGGGGCAGGCAGGGGGGCCAGCAGGGGGCGAGGAGGAGGAGGGGGGGCGGCCAGTGGCGTGCACAGAGTGTGGGCTGGCTCATGTGTGGCGCCCCGTCAACCGCCCCTGCAGCCAAGCCCGCTGGTGTCAGGTGGGGTGCAGTTGGGTCCAGTGGGGTACACTGGGGTGGAGTGGGATGCAGTGGCAGGTGGGGGCGTGTGCACGGGAGGCTGATGGTCATAGGTGGAGTGCAATTCGAGTTCTTCACTTATTTTCTTCATCGGAGGAAGACTGTGTACCATGCTTTTGTGCAAGTGTAGGTGTCTGTGTGCGTGTATGCCTGTGTTCTCGTGTGCCTGTGTGCGTGTGTTCTCGTGTGCGTGTGTGCATTTGTTCATGTGGCAGGAGTGTCAGAAGCACCACCCATGCAAGGAGGGGGATGGCTGGGTGGAACAACTCCCTCAGCCTGCCTTGTTTGGCATGCTCTCTGTTGTGAGTGCACATGCTGCCACACACTCTGCACTCACCAGCTGACACAGCACTGCCACTCTCACAGCACTGCCACTCTCACAGCACTGCCACTCTCACAGCACTGCCACTCTCACAGCACTGCCACTCTCACAGCACTGCCACTCTCACAGCACTGCCACTCTCACAGCACTGCCACTCTCACAGCACTGCCACTCTCACAGCACTGCCACTCTCACAGCACTGCCACTCTCACAGCACTGCCACTCTCACAGCACTGCTACTCTCACAGCACTGCCACTCTCACAGCACTGCCACTCTCACAGCACTGCCACTCTCACAGCACTGCCACTCTCACAGCACTGCCACTCTCACAGCACTGCCACTCTCACAGCACTGCCACTCTCACAGCACTGCCACTCTCACAGCACTGCACTACCACTCTCACAGCACTGCCACTCTCACAGCACTGCCACTCTCACAGCACTGCCACTCTCACAGCACTGCCACTCTCACAGCACTGCCACTCTCACAGCACTGCCACTCTCACAGCACTGCCACTCTCACAGCACTGCCACTCTCACAGCACTGCCACTCTCACAGCACTGCCACTCTCACAGCACTACCACTCTTACACCATGCTTCGTCACTCACCTCCCCTTGTGTTCCCCGGTTGCCACGCCACCTGCCACCATCCCACGGCCACCTGTCACAATGTCACCACCTCACTTCCTCCCTCCCCTGTGCTACCCCTGCCCCATACCCCCCCGGCCGTATGAGCAGAAGGGCCCACAGAACTTCTACACGTGCACGGACGGGCAGGTCTACCACATCACTGATTGGGCGCGCTGCCAGGTGGGTTGCTGTGCTGCCAGGTGGGTTTCTCTGCTGCCAGGTGGGTTGCTCTGCTGCCAGGTGGGTTGCGATGCTGCCAGGTGGGTTGCTCTGCTGCCAGGTGGGTTGCTCTGCTGCCAGGTGGGTTGCGATGCTGCCAGATGGGTTGCTCTGCTGCCAGGTGGGTTGCTCTGCTGCCAGGTGGGTTGCTCTGCTGCCAGGTGGGTTGCAGCGCTGCCAGGTGGGTTGCTCTGCTGCCAGGTGGGTTGCTCTGCTGCCAGGTGGGTTGCTCTGCTGCCAGGTGGGTTGCGATGCTGCCAGGTGGGTTGTTCTGCTGCCAGGTGGGTTGCTCTGCTGCCAGGTGGGTTGCGATGCTGCCAGGTGGGTTGCTCTACGGCCAGGTGGGTTGCTCTGCTGCCAGGTGGGTTGCACTGCTGCCAGGTGGGTTGCTCTGCTGCCAGGTGGGTTGCTCTGCTGCCAGGTGGGTTGCTCTGCTGCCAGGTGGGTTGCTCTGCTGCCAGGTGGGTTGCTCTGCTGCCAGGTGGGTTGCTCTGCTGCCAGGTGGGTTGCTCTGCTGCCAGGTGGGTTGCTCTGCTGCCAGGTGGGTTGCTCTGCTGCCAGGTGAACTTCTGTTTTTTGCTCAATGTTTGTCTGCTCGTTCAGCCACCCGATTTCCGCTGCCTACCTAACGGTGGACCTGCAAAGCTGGTTCTTGATCATGGAATGGTGACTTGCAGTTTGGAACACGCTTAGCTCATCTGGAACGTCCCCACAGCCCCCTCAGCCGCTCAGCAGCCAATGGTTTGGGAGTGAGTGAAGTGTGTATCAAACATATAAGTGATTCTCCTTTGTGCCCCGTGCGCCCTTGCTGCTGGCAGGGCATGCAGTGCCCGCCCAACACGCACAAGCCCTCCTTCCACTTCAAGCTCTCCCCTCACCCGCCCTCGCCGCCTGCGTCCTCCGCCTCGCCTAGGAGCCAGCGCCAGAGGGGCAGAGGGGGCAGGGGCAGCGCCCGGGGCAGGGAAGAGCGCGAGGAGGGGTGGGCAGCAGGCATGGCAGGGGGCAGCAGTGGTGGCGGAGTGCGTGTGGAGCTTAGCGAGGAAGAGATGGTGACCCTCCTGGCCCGTGCTGTGAGCACTGGCGCCTTGAGCCCCACCCAGCTCTCAGATGCCCTCAGAACAGCGTCCCAATGTAGTGACAAGGGCCCACCCCCTCGGCGGAAAGGCAGGCGGCACAAACCTCACTAAGCAGCAATTGGAAACACCACAAATCCAGTTGAAAGCAATCATATACCAGCTCGTGTCCTTCACTCAAGGTAGAAGGTCCTATATACCGTATTACCCCGGATAGAAGCGCACCTGCGCTTATAATAAAGCAGAGTTTTTTAGGGGGGTGCGCTTCTAATTGAGTCATTTTTATAAGCGCATGCGCTAATATAATGACAGATACAGATATATAAATTTATAGCATCAAAATGTACATCTCAGTCGTACCATTCCAATCGAGGCAATATTTTATAGCGCCAGGAATCAGAATCGCGCGCTACCGATTTTTTTTCAACACACTGGGGCAACGACACGTCAGTTTGCCCCTATGCCAGCACATCTTGACCTGACGTGCAGGTGCAGCTTCTGAGGTCTTCTCGAGTCAAACGAAGCGATTAAGAAATTAGGATCGCTTCAATTTTGAAACTCGTTACTGTGTTTAGCAGGTTTTAAATAAAAATTACGCATGCGCTTATAATAAAACAAGGTTTACAGGGGGTGCGCTTATAATTGAGGATCGGCCATAAGCGCATTGCTCCAGATATGAGCGCATGCGCTTTTAATAGGCCTGCGCTTATATCCGGGGCGATACGGTAAAGGTTTTGCATGGTGGATGTCTACGTAGTGTGTTTGAATCAACCCGCAAGCAAAACTGTGTTGTAGCCAGGCCCTCAGATTCGTTTTTGGCCTGTCTGATTCGTCAGTCTTAGGACATAGTTTTAGGCTGATTGATCAGACTTGGAAAAAAATAAAAAGCTGAAATTTCAGTGTATTGCCACCAGAAAAGGCTGAACAATCAGAGTTACATTTTTTATGGGTTTAGGGTTTAGGGTTTAGGGTTTAGGGTTTAGGGTTTAGGGTTTAGGGTTTAGGGTTTAGGGTTTAGGGTTTAGGGTTTAGGGTTTAGGGTTTAGGGTTTAGGGTTTAGGGTTTAGGGTTTAGGGTTTAGGGTTTAGGGTTTAGGGTTTAGGGTTTAGGGTTTAGGTTGTAGGGTTTAGGGTTTAGGGTTAGGGTTTAGGGTTTAGGGTTTAGGGTTAGAGGTTTAGGGTTTAGGGTTTAGGGTTTAGGGTTTAGGGTTTAGGGGTTTAGGTTTAGGGTTTACGGGTTTAGGGGTTAGGGTTGCGTAGGGTTTAGGGTTTAGGGTTTTAGACGGTTTGAGGGTTTAGGGTTTAGGGTTTAGGGTTAGCGGTTTAGGGTTAGGGTTTAGGGTTTTTTAGGGTTTAGGGTTTAGGGTTTAGGGTTTAGGGTTTAGGGTT